GTTCACACTTCTGCGGTGCGGCATAACGCATGTGATTCGCACAGGAAACACACTGCATTAACATGCAAATTCTGTGCAGTGCATTTTGTATGGCTCAAATCGCACCGCACTCGCACCAAAAAAGTACAGGACTCTTTTTTTGGTCTGCACTAGAATCGGATTGCATGGGTATTCACACCTATGCGATCCAATTCTACACATCACACTGCGTTTTGGGAAGCGATTTCAGGGTGTTAACAAACACCTGCAGCTGTTACAATGAATGGGGTGTGATTGTGATGCGGTGCGGAATTCACAGCAGCTTCTGTGCAAATTCTGCACCGCATCAGTGTGAACCCAGGCTGAAGAACACAATGTCAGAGATGTACTTAGGCTAGGGTCACACCTATGCAGGTTGTATTTGAGCCGTTTCTGCATTGTGTTTTGCCGCATTTTCAATGCATTTTGCGCAAAATGCGGCAAAAACGCAGCAAAAGCTCAATACATGTTTTTCTACAGCATTTCCATTAAAGTCTATAGAGCCAAAAACGCAACGCGTTAAACTCCCTAACCCTTTCCAAAAAACGCACCGGGTAAAAACGCACAGGTGTGAACATGTCCCATAGGAAATCATGTTAAATGGACTATACTGCGTTTCTGCAAAACGCTGCGGAAAATGCTTAAGTGTGAACCGAGGGTGAAACTGGAGAGTGCAGAATCTAGTGCAGCGCTGCAAAGTAACCAATCCGTGTCTAGTTTTTATTGTCAAAGCTTAAGGCTCCATTCGCACTTATGCGACTTGTCATGCGACTTTGGGGTCCAAAGTCGCATGACAAGTCGCCTCTTATGTTTCCCAATGGGTACCATTCATATCTGTATGACTTCAAAGTAGTTCCTGCACTACTTTGGTCTGACTTTCATGTGACTTGAGGGCCATAGACTTCATGTAAACCCTCCAAAGTTGCATGAAAGTCGCAACTGGATGTTGTACATGAGATCTGTGTGCGACTTTGTACAGCAGAAACAATTATCCTTGATCAAAGCCAAAGTCATATGGGCAGCACAGTGGCTAAATGGTTAGCACTTCTGCCTTGGTTCAAATCCCAACTACAGCACCACCTGCCTGTAGTTTGCATGTTCTCCCTGTGCCTGTGTGGGTTTCCTCCCACACTCCAAAGACCTGCTGGTAGGTTAATTGGCTCCTGTCTAAATTGGCCCTAGTATGTGTTTGTATGAATGTGAGTTAGGGACCTTAGATTGTACACCCCTTGAGGGTTAGGGACCTTAGATTGTACGCCCCTTGAGGGTTAGGTACCTTAGATTGTACGCCCCTTGAGGGTTAGGGACCTTAGATTGTACGCCCCTTGAGGGTTAGGGACCTTAGATTGTACGCCCCTTGAGGGTTAGGTACCTTAGATTGTACGCCCCTTGAGGGTTAGGGACCTTAGATTCTATGCCCCTTGAGGGTTAGGGACCTTAGATTCTACGCCCCTTGAGGGTTAGGGACCTTAGATTGTACGCCCCTTGAGGGTTAGGGACCTTAGATTCTACGCCCCTTGAGGGTTAGGGACCTTACATTGTACGCCCCTTGAGGGTTAGGGACCTTAGATTCTACGCCCCTTGAGGGTTAGGGACCTTACATTGTACGCCCCTTGAGGGTTAGGGACCTTAGATTGTACGCCCCTTGAGGGATAGGGACCTTAGATTGTACGCCCCTTGAGGGTTAGGGACCTTAGATTCTACGCCCCTTGAGGGTTAGGGACCTTAGATTCTACGCCCCTTGAGGGTTAGGGACCTTAGATTGTACGCCCCTTGAGGGTTAGGGACTGATGTGAATGTACAATATATATGTAAAGTGCTGCGTAAATTGACGGCGCTATATAAGTACCTGTAATAAATAAATAATTCCTAAATAAAGTTGCACTCATCCAAAGTCGCAGTGAAAATTGCACAATTTTGAAGTCGCACAAGTGTGAATGGAGCTCATTTGAACAAGCTGAAGGTAGAAGCTGATTGGTTACAATGCACAGCTGCGGCAGATTCTGAGTGCTCCAGGTTTAGTAAATCTCTCCCACTAGGAATCCTCATGCTGAACTTCCAGAAAATCGTTCAGACATGAAGCAGGGTTCAGGACATGGCCAAGGCACACGGCTCCCGGGACTCTTTGGGAACTACAAGGCTCAGCATGCCTTCTAGCTCTGCCTTAGCTGTAGGTGTCCGGTTGTATTCCCTGTGATCGCCCTCCATTGTAGAATACGCCTGAATGCGACTTTTCCCCTCTGGAAACACTTAGGTTTAATCCCGACATGACCAATCCTCGAGATGCCGTCATTTGGGGATCACAGCTAATTACACCAAATGACTTTCTCCGCTGAGTCAGTACAAATGTGTCAATTAGAAATCAAAGAAAAGTCAAAGAGGAAACCACATAATATTTGTTACATAAGTTGCCAACACACATGTTAGTCTGGGTTCACACCTAAGCGTTTTCCGCAGCATTTTGCAGCAACCCAGTACAGTCCATTTACCATGATTTCCTATGGGACAGGTTCACATCTCCGCATTTTCACCGATGCGTTTTTTTGCAAAGGGTCAGGGACTTTTTAAAAGCAAAACGTTGCGCTTTGGTTCAATAGACTTCAATGGAGATACTGCAGAAATGGATGTAGTGCGTTTTTGATGCATTTTGATCTGCCTAGCAACAACAACTGACTTGAATGGGACTGCCTGTATAGCAATGCATGGAACACCTGTGTATCCCCATTCAGGTAAACACAGCCATCACCAGGGGTGGACTGACAACTCATGGGGCCCCCGGGCAATAGGGGATCATGGGGCCCCTGTGTCCTTGCCCAAACTCAAAAAAGCCTATGAAAAAGGTACCAGGGGCATCTCATGGGGCCCCCTACTGCCCAAGTTTCCAAATGGTCAGTCCACCCCTGGCCATCACGCATGCCATGGATGCACTCCGTGTAATAGAGGCCATGTGATAGAACACTGTACATGGTATAGACAACAGACCAATAATAGAAATGTATTGGAAGACTTCACAGACATCTTATAGTGGTTGTAAACCTCACACATGAAACATGAACAAATCATATCCCTCTGGTTTGCGCGTTTTTCAATCCAAAGCACTAAGTATCATATCTGTCTACTACCCCATTCCTCTGTTATCTGCAAGAGTCACTCCTGATACCAAGAGATAAAAAGGTGACAGGGGTGGGACCCCCAGCACACAGCCTGTGATTGACAGCCTTAGCTGTGTTCCTTTGTGCTGTGTGAAGACAGAGGGGGATGTCCCTTCCCTCCAATCAGCTCTCACTGAGCTCTGTAGTGTGTAACTTAGGCTCTCCTCCTCCTGCTTTCTGAAAGCTCAGACAAGCTGTAGAAACTCTGCACTTTGAGAAGAGATGGCTGCAGATAAACCGGTGCAACTTATGTAGGAGGAGGAGACCCAAGTGTGCAGCTGGCGATTCTGTCGGCTGACCATAGAGCTGATGGGGGACCTGGAGCTGATGGGGGACTTGGAGAGAAGGCTACAGATAAACTGGTACAACTTATGTAGGAGGACTTGTGGTCCAGCAATGTGGACTTTGGATATACCAGAGCTACAGGCATCATCCTGGTATCGTTTTTCTTTTCAGCCAATGGTTGGCTTTCTTGGCTAATTAGCCACCATATTGCTTTTACAAGCGGCAGTAGAGGACGCCCCCCCCGCTGCCGTCGCCTTCCACAGCTCTCTCGGGCTCACTCATACCACGGGGAGACCCAAGCGTGCAGCTGGCGATTCTGCCGCTGACCATAGAGCTGACAGGGGGACCTGGAGCTGATGGGGGACCTGGAGAGAAGGCTACAGACAAACTGGTACAACCTATGTAGGAGGACTTGTGGTCCAGCAATGTGGACTTTGGATATACCAGAGCTGCAGGCATCATCCTGGTATCGTTTTTCTTTTCAGCCAATGGTTGGCTTTCTTGGCTAATTAGCCGCCGATTGCTTTTTACAAGCGGCAGTAGAGGACGCCCCCCCTGCTGCCGTCGCCTTCCACAGCTCTCTCGGGCTCACTCGTACCACGGGGAGACCCAAGTGTGCAGCTGGCAATTCTGCCGGCTGACCATAGAGCTGATGGGGGACCTGGAAGGGCCCTGATCATCCCTGCAGTCCAAGAAACCAGAATAGCTAGAATTTCATCACTTCCAGTTTCGCTGGTTGTAAACAAACCCTTAGAGGTTTGAAAAAAGCATTGGATCACAACGATCTTGTCTGAACCGAAGCTTTTTATGGCAGAGGAGAGATCTGGGGTTTAATAGACCCCAGATCTCTCAGTAAAGAGCACCTGTCATTGCCTAATGCTATCACAGGGGGCGTTTACATTCCCTGTGCTAAAAATAAAAATGACCAAAAATAACATTTAAAGGGACAGTGTAAAAGAAAAAAAAAATGAAAGCGCCCCTGTCCTCCATGCTCGGAAAGGAGAATGCACACGCTGGTCCCACATGCACACGTAAATAGCAATTATGCCATACATGTGAGGTATCACTGCGAACATCAGATCAAGAGCAATAATTGCCAGCACCAGACCTCCTGTGTAAATCTGAAGTGATAACCTGTAAAGGCTTTTAAAGCGTCACCTATGGATAATAAAATGTATGTAGTCTGGTGCCATTGCGCGGGCGTGCACAATTTTAAAACATGACATGTTTGGTATCTATTTACTTGGCTTAACATCATCTTTTATATTTTACTGAACAATTGGGTATTACGTTGTGTCTTTGTGCATTAAAATGTATTACACTGAATTTATTCCCCAAAAATTCTGTGTAAAAAGCTGCTATGCAAATACTGTGTGACATATAAAATTGCACCACCCGCCATTTTATTCTCTAGGGCCTCTGCTTTAAAAAAATATGTAATGTTTGGAGGTTCTAAGTAATTTTCTAGCAAAAATACAGATTTTTACATGTAAATAAAAAGTGTCTGAAAAGGCTTAGTCTTAAAGTGGTTAAAGTGTTACTAAACCCAGGACTCTGCATTCACTATATCTGTAATTAGTTTAGTAAATATAAACTGCTACATTTCATCAACAGTATTTAGCAGTCTTGTGACTTCTATCAGTGTCCAGCAGAGCACTGGTTAATCAGTTTTCATTCTTCTGATTGTCCTTTAAGGCTGCATGACCCCTGACCCTCTGTCTGGACAGTGCTGATTGGCCCTATGCTGATCACATGCACCCTCCCAAAGGAAAAAAAGCTCTAGCAATACACACCAAATTGAGCATGTGCAGAGTGACTCTTAGAGCTCTGTACTATCAGCAGATGAATGAGGACACTGGAAGAAGGGGAGGATTAGAGAAGACAGGATCAAATAGCATATGTGGAGGATTAACCCCTTAGGTTCCACAATGAGTATAACAAGCATGCTTTTCTGCATATACAGACTGATTTTACTGTTTGTGGATTTAGTAACACTTTATTGCAGGACTTTTTTTCTCAGAGAATAGGCACAGTCTGAGTCACCCTGTCTGCACCCCCTTCCCACCTCCGAGCACCGTCCCTTGGTTCCACCACCTACCCACCTCCCCAGTCTGCCCCTTTAGAGTATACAGAACCAAGTATTATAGTATAGTGCTAAGTAATTTTCCCCCCCCCCCCCCGGTGGCAATAATAAGTCCCCCAGCAACAATAGATCCCCCTGGCAACAATAGACACCCTGGCAACAATATATTCCTCAGCAACAATAGATCCCTGGCAGCATCAGAGTTCTAAACCCTCCATCAGCCAGAAATATTAAACCCCCTCCCTCAACAGTAGTTATTTCCCTGCAACAAATGACCACCCAGAAACATAAGACCCCCCTAGCAACAACATATCCCCCACCGGCGACAATAGTCCCCTCACTCACTCAAAAACAGATCCCTTCCAGCAACAATAGATCCCCTTGCAGTAAGCATCAATAGATCCTCTAGCACACCCCTGTGGTAAATGGAGAAGAAAGAGAAGTGCGCCAGACTAAGTGCAGTATGAATATAAAAGTTTATTGCACACAAGATTTTTTTTTTTTTTTCCCCATTTCTTTCCTTTCCTTCTATTCTTCCTATCTTTCACATGTTCTACAGAAAGCAGCTGCTCACCGTTTATTTCTTATGTTTTCCACCACTGCTTGTTAAGCCTGTATGCATTATACATTTTTTTAATTTCACTACCCCGCCCTCAGTTGCCCCACCCCTTCCTCTCCTTATTTATTGGCTCATCCCACTAGCCAATCAGGTCTGATGAAAAGGCAGGTTGCCTAGAAACGCGTCACCGCCCCCTTGGAGGATTCCCAGCAACGTTCTGATGTCATTTCCTGCCCGGTGGCCATCTTGGATGTGCCTCAAGCTGGCTACTGTACCCACGCTGATGTGAGAGATCAGCAGTGCCTGCCCTGGATCCCGGTTCTTATCTGCGCCGCGACTCCCGGTTACTGCGCCTGCCATCCTCGCCTCCTCCTGTGGGACCCGCCTAGAGCGCCAGCCATGCAACACCTTGGCATTACAGATATCCATTTGTGAGGTGCAGCACAGATGACATCCTCCTCCTTATATATTGATGCCTGATATCTACCCACGTCTTGTGAGTTTTTATAATCTTGTGTGCAATAAACTTTTATATTCATACTGCACTTAGTCTGGCGCACTTCTCTTTCTTCTCCATTTACCACAGAGTCCGGTTTACTCTAGAAAGTGCAAGCCTCACGACGGTGTCTACATTGCAGCGTTGTATATATATGTATACACATATATATACCATCTATCTCAATCCAGTACTGTTTGCATCACAAGGCCTTTTTTCCCCTCCTTTCCCTACCCCCCTCCCCTCCCCCCCTTCCCTTTCCTCACCACTAAAGCTGCATCATCTACTTGTTGCCCCTTTATTACTGGCATGTACGATTATATATCTTAATTTCTGTTTACTGGATTATTTTGTTTAAGGTTTGCTGAGTGAACGTTATGTCCACTACAAATTCTCTTGCGCCAATTGCATTTTTATTTTTGTCTAGCACACCCCCTGCACCCCTTGCCATTACATACACTATATTGCCTTGCCCTAGGTTTGGGTGGTGCCGCTGCGGATCTGCATGAAAATCCGTGCAGCCGCACCACCCGCACAGAGAAATGCGGACCTGCGGGTGGGTGCCATTAGTTCTAATGGCATGCCGCCCGCACTGGAAAACACAACCGTACTGGGAACCGAGGTTCCTGTGCGGGCTGCATTTTTCAAAGTAGTGCAGGGACTTCTTTCCCTGCGTGTCATGGGCACGGGAGTCCATTCAAATGAATGGGCACTCCTGCCTGTGCAAAACATGGCCCGCCATGGCCGCATAGATGTGAACGGGGGTAAAGTATTGGGCCACCCTCCAAATCATTGGATTCAGGTGTTCCAATCCCCTCCATGGCCACAGGTGTATACAATCAAGCACCTAGGCATGCAGACTGCTTCTACAAACATTTGTGAAAGAATGGGTCGCTCTCAGGAGCTCAGTGACTCCAAGCGTGGTCCCGTGATAGGTTGTCACCTGTGCAATAAGTCCATCTGTGACATTTCTTGGCTACTAAATATTCCACGGTCAACTGTTAGTGGGATTATAATAAAATGGAAGCAACTGGGAACAACAGCAACTCAGCCACCAAGCGGTAAGCCACATAAAATGACAGAGCGGGGTCAGCACATGCTGAAGCGCACAGTGTGCAGAAGTCACCAACTGTCTGCAGAGTCAATAGCTAAAGACCTCCAAACTTCATGTGGCCTTCAGATTAGCACAACTACAGTGCGTAGAGAGCTTCATGGAATGGGTTTCCATGGCCGAGCAGCTGCATCCAAGCACTTACATTACGAAGTGCAATGCACAGCGTCGGATGCCGTGGTGTAAAGCATGCCGCCACTGGACTCTAGAGCAGTGGAGACGTGTTCTCTGGAGTGACCAATCACACTTCTGTCTGGCAATCTGATGTACATGTCTGGGTTTGGCGGTTGCCAGGAGAACGGTACTTGCCTGAAAGCATTGTGCCAAGTGTAAAGTTTGGTGGAGGGGGGATTATGATGTGGGGTTGTTTTTCAGGGGTTGGGTTTGGCCCCTTAGTTCCAGTGAAGGGAACTCTTAAAGCATCAGCATGCCAAGACAATTTGGACAATTTTATGCTCCCAACTTTGTGGGAAGAGTTTGGGGATGGCCCCTTCCTGTTCCAACATAACTGCACACCAGTGCACAAAGCAAGGTCCATAGAGACATGGATGATCGAGTTTGGGGTGGAGGAACTTGACTGGCCTGCACAGAGTCCTGACCTTTGGGTAGAATTAGAGCGGAGACTGTGAGCCAGGCCTTCTCGTCCGACATCAGTGCCTGACCTCACAAATGTGCTTCTGGAAGAATGGTCAAACCTTCCCATAGACACCCTCCTAAACCTTGTGGACGGCCTTCCCAGAAGAGTTGAAGCTGTTATAGCCGCAAAGGGCGGGCCAACTCAATATTGAACCCTACAGTCTAAGACTGGGATGCCATTAAAGTTCATGTGTGTGTAAAGGCAGGTGTGTCAATATTTTGGGCAATATAGTGTACATTCGGTGCTGGAGGTGCCGGAATGTTCCCCCGTGTTCCCTCTGACGAAGGCCCTGTGTATCACCGGTCTCTTTGCCGGGTGTACGTAGGCTTTACTACCACTTTTTGTCTTCATTTGCTATTTCTGGTTTACACATTAACCTAACATTTGTATTTTCTGCTCTTTAAATATTAACCATCACAGGAGAAGTGGTGATGCTTTAGTAGCAGCATTCCTCACTATAGAATGGATGTGGGGCTGATGTACTGTAATAGATCTAAAATACAGTAAGAAATGTGCATTGCGGCTTGACAAGATAAAAGGAGACATCAATGGGAGATAATAGGATACACATGACAGGGCTCCATATCCCCATCAGACATGATGGGTAATTATAGGGAGGAATCTGTGACCTTCATGTGTCAGTCCTCACCACTTAACATTCCTGGGGAAATCGCAGCGCAGAGAGCTGGTTATACATTGCCATGCGTTATCTGGGACTCCTTCCTCTTGATGTGCCATAGGTCAACATGCCATTGCAGATTATCCAGCCTTGTATGGGGGGAAAGGAGGAAGTATGGAGAGGAAAGCCTCCTTGGTCAACATCCAAGCCATTATTTACCAATGTACTAAGGTGTGTTGGGAGTCAAGGAATTCAATCTATAGGGATGTTTAAAGTGAATGGAGGTGTGGAGTGCACAATTGCTGATAGTGAAGATATTTTCACCTTGGGTGAATGAACCTTTACGTTTTAAGGAATGATTACACTTCGGTACATTTGTCTAAACTAAATGGAAAAGTGACACTCAAGGCTCCACCAGGTCCCCCTATGTAGCAATCACTTGTATAGAATTTATCCAGCTTGTCAGAGCTTCCAGAAAACAGGGGGTGGAGAGCCAAGGTTACACACTGCAGAGCTCAGTGGGGAGATCTCTGAAAGCTGATTGGAGGGAAGAGACACACCCCCTATCCACACAGCTGACAGGAACAGAGCTGAGGCTGTCAATCTGTTTGAGGTCCCTTCCATGCCACCATATTTTCTCTTGGTGTCAGGAAAACGGGTCAGAAGTGATTCATGCTGATAGCAGAGGAACAAAGCATTAGACAGAAATTACACTTATTGCTCTGGATTGAGACAAGTACACACTATAGAGGGATATGCTTTGTTCAAAATGTATGTCTGAAGTTTACAACTACTTTAAAGTGTTACTAAACCCAGGTCCCTGCATTCACTATATCTGCCCCCAGACCCCCCCCCCCCCCGGCCCCTGCATTCACTATACCTGGTCTCCCAGGACCCTGCATTCACTATATCTGGTCTCCCCAGACCCTGTATTCCCTATATCTGGTCTCCCCCCTGCATTCACCCTGAATTCACTATATCTGGTCTCTCCGGACCCTGCATTTTACTATACCTGGTCTCCCAGGACCCTGCATTCACTATATCTGGTCTCCCTGGACCCTGCATTCACTATATCTGGTCTCCCAGGACCCTGCATTCACTATATCTGGTCTGCCCAGACCCTGCATTCACTATATCTGGTCTCCCCGGACCCTGCATTCACTATATCTGGTCTCCCCGGACCCTGCATTCACTATATCTGGTCTCCCCGGACCCCCGGGACCCTGCATTCACTATATCTGGTCTCCCACAGTGCACACAACAAGGAAATGCAATTATTTTAGTAAATATAAACTGCTAAATACCTTTTCTCATTCGCAGTATATTGCAGTCTTGTGACTTCTATCAGTGTCCAGCAGAGCACTGGTTACAGCTTGTAGGAGGAGTTTTCTTTCTGATCTAGGAGGATGCAGAACCCCTGACCTCTGTTTGGATACTGCTGATTGGCCCTGTACTGATCACATGCGCACTCCCAAGAAAAACAAAACCTCTCTAGCAATACACACTAAACTGAGCATGTGCATGTGGCTATGGTTCAGTCTGTCTTATCAGGAGATAAGACTTGGACATTCGAAGAAGAGGAGGGGCAGAGAAGACAGGATCAAACAGCCTTTTTACACAATTAACAGAATTAACCCCTTAGGTTCCACAGAGAGTATGACAAGCATACTTTACTGCATATACAGACTGATTGTACTGTTGTGAGTTTAGTAACACTTTAAATAAAATAAATGTAGACTAATGTACTTAATAGAAAAGAGAGAAATCCCAGAAGTCGCACATCTCTGCAAAACACCATTTGAAGGTATATGATAGCCACAGCCCAAGTCCCCAACCAGGCCACGCCCCCAACACATTTCCTTCCACCCACAGAGATTAGTCATGGGGAATGACTCCATGGGCGGAGTGAAACACATTGGGGCGTGACCTTTGGTGTTCAGTTTGCTGTATATTGCTAGAGTTTTTTTTTTACTTGGGAGAGTGCATGTGATCAGCACAGGGCCAATCAGCACCGGACAGAGGGTTGGAGGTCCTGCAGCCTCATAGGACAGTCAGGGGAGAATGAAAACTCCTCCTACAAGCTCTAAGCAGTGCTCAGCTGGACACTGATAGAAGTCACAAGACTGCTATATACTGCTGATCAGAAAAGGTATTTAGCAGTTTATATTTACTAAAATAATTGCATTTCCATGTTGTGTGTACTGTGGGAGACCAGATATAGTGAATGCAGGGTCCAGGGAGACCAGATATAGTGAATGCGGGATTCAGGCAGACCAGATCTAGGGAATGCGGGGTCCTGGGAGACCAGATATAGTGAATGCAGGGTCTGGGGAGACCAGATATAGTGAATGCAGGGTCTGGGGAGACCAGATATAGTGAATGCAGGGTTCGGGGAGACCAGATATAGTGAATGCGGGGTCCAGGGAGACCAGATATAGTAAATGCAGGGTCCGGGGAGACCAGATATAGTGAATGCGGGGGTCCGGGGAGACCAGATATAGTGAATGCAGGGTCCGGGGAGACCAGATATAGTGAATGCAGGGTACCAGATATAGTGAATGCAGGGTCCGGGGGACCGATATAGTGAATGCAGGGTCCTGGGAGACCGGATATAGTGAATGCAGGGTCCTGGGAGACCAGATATAGTGAATGCAGGGTCCTGGGAGACCAGATATAGTGAATGCAGGGTACGGGGAGACCAGACATAGTGAATGCAGGGTACGGGGAGACCAGATCTAGTGAATGCAGGGTCCAGGGAGACCAGATCTAGTGAATGCAGGGTCCGGAGAGACCAGATCTAGTGAATGCAGGGTCCGGGAGACCAGATCTAGTGAATGCAGGGTCCGGGGAGACCAGATCTAGTGAATGCAGGGTCCGGGGAGACCAGATATAGTGAATGCAGGGTCCAGGGAGACCAGATATAGTGAATGCAGGGTCCGGGGTTTAGTAACACTTTCAGGATGATCTAAGGTCCTTATCTCGCATACATACACATACTACGGGAGCTAATGAACCTATCAGCATACCTTTTAGATTGTAGAGGAATCCTGTGTACCTGGAGGAAGTCTATGCAGGCACACAGAGAACATACAGACTCCATGTGGATACTGCTCTTAGACTTTTCCCTTTAATTGTTTATTAGCAGAGATGTCCTGCTTAGAACATCTACAATCAGCTGTCATACGAGCACTAAGGCGCCCAACGCTCAGAGCGGCTTGGATTTTATTGGACGAGTCGGGCACCCTTTGGTTTTATGAGAGTTCCTGAAGGCAGATGGAAGAAAAATGAGCAGCCTTGCTGTGTGCATGATGATACTGATGATTTCTGGGGGGTCCTTGCTGGACAACTATGTGGAGCAGGAAAGGAAGTACTTAGGATTTTCCTATCTTATCTCCGGAATCAGAGAACCTCTCTTAGGCTCCATGCACACTAGCAATTTTCTAGAAGCTCTTATTAGCATTTTTTTTTTTCTGCTCCCAGAACCCAATAGTGTTCTCCTATGTCTCCATGCACACCATGTTAGGCTATTAGCATTTTTTGAGCTTCGGCGTCTAGAAATAAAATTGTTTGTAGAGTGCTATGGAGCGTTTTTCCAGCAGAAAAAAAAGCTAAACGCTTCTAGATGCTACTAAAACGCTCCTAACAACTTTTTTCTAGCTTTTTTTTATTTTTTTTCTCTCTGCATGTACTATAAAAACAATGAAATGCTAGCGCTCCTGAATGCTACTAAAAAATGAATATTTTTTTATCCAGTGTTTTTGGGCTTAAAAAAACCACTAGTGTGCATGGAGCCTTTAGCTGACTGTACATGGTTAGCTTTTGATTCAAACATTTGTTCCAAAATTCCGAAAAATCGTTCAGCAGAACATTCTTGCCACAATCGAGTCGACTAATTTGATTCGAAAGCCCTTAAAATTTTGCGACACCCCAAATGTGTATTTGCCTGCACCTGATTGCATGCAGATCGGCCATGTGATTTGGTTGAAGTGCCCTCCCAAAATTACTGCATGTACGACTTTGGTATGGATATGGTGCGATTTATGCCCATTTAAATTGAATGGGATCAAATCGCACTGTACTGAATGGGAATTCGGTGCGGTTCCTGAGCATTCCAAATGCAATCCATAGGGTGAACCTAGGCTTACAGCTGAATTCCAGGTATGGCAATTTTTCCATAGTTACATAGTTGGACCAATATAAGGACTCTTGCACACAGATACCTAAAAACACCACTTTTTTTTAACTTTTTGGCGGCATTATTTTATACTGATCCAAAGGCAGCCCATTGTTTTTTAACCGGCCTGTTCACACAGGTGTGTAAACTAGGGCTGCATATAGGTCAGTAAAAAAAAAAAAACTGCATTGTCTGTTAGTAATTTATATGTGTATGCGTGTACATTTATTTATTTCAGGTACTTATATAGCGATGTCAATGTACACAGCGCTTTACATATATATTATTCATCCACATCAGTCCCTAACCCTCAAGGGGTGTACAATCTAAGGTCCCTAACTCACATTCATACATACACATACTAGGGCCAATTTAGACAGGAGCCAATTAATCTACCAGCATGTCTTTGGAGTGTGGGGGAAACCCACGCAGGCACAGGGAGAACATGCAAATTCCAGGCAGGTGGTGCTGTGGCTGGGATTCGAACCAACGACCTGAGTACTGCCAGGCGGAAGTGCTAACCATTTAGCCACTGTGCTGCCACCCCATATGTATGAATATGTCCATATATTCATGTACACCACATCCCGCTGATAAAAAAAATGTACATGTACTATACAGCCCATCATTGCGTTTTTACACAGGAACTTTCTGCTGGGAATATCTGATGTTCACACACCAGTACCATATGTTAGAGCCCTTAGTAAGTACATTATATTGCCAAAAGTATTAGGATGCCTACCTTTCCACACACATGAACTTTAATGGCCTCCCAGTCTTAGTCCGTAGGGTTCAATATTGAGTTGGCCCCGCCCTTTGCAGCTACAACAGCTTCACCCCTTCTGGGAAGGCCGTCCACAAGGTTTAGGAGGGTGTCTATGGGAAGGTTTGACCATTCTTCCTGAAGCACATTTGTGAGGTCAGGCACTGATGTCGGGGGAGGAGGCCTGGCTCACAGTCTCCACTCTAATTCATCCCAAAGGTGTTCTATGGGGTTGAGGTCAGGACTCCAGGTCATGTTTCTCCACCCCAAACTCGCTCATCCATGTCTGTATGGACCTTGCTTTGTGCACTGGTGTGCAGTCATGATGGAAGAGGAAGGGGCCATCCCCAAACTGTTCCCACAAAGTTGGGAACATGAAATTGTCCAAAATGTCTTGGTATGCTGACGCCTTAAGAGTTCCCTTCACTGGAACTAGGGGGCCAAACCCAACCCCTGAAAAACAACCCCACACCATAATCCCCTCCACCAAACTTTACACTTGGCACAATGCAGTCAGGCAAGTACCGTTCTCCTGGCAACCACCAAACACAGACACATCCATCAGATTGCCAGACAGAGAAGCGTGATTGGTCACTCCAGAGAACACGTCTCCACTGCAGTCCAGTGGCGGCGTGCTTTACACCACTGCATCTGATGCTTTGCGTTGCACTTGATGATGTAAGGCTTGGATGCACCTACTTGGCCATGTAAACCCATTTCATGAAGCTCTCTACACACTGTTGTTGTGCTAATCTGAAGGCCACATGGAGTTTGGAGGTCTTTAGCTATTGACTCTGCAGAAAATTGGCGACTTCTGCACACTGTGCGCATCAGCATGCGCTGACCCCGCTCTGTCATGTTATGTGGCCTACCACTTGGTGGCTGAGTTGCTGTTGTTCCCAGTTGCTTCCACTTTGTTATAGTCCCACTAACAGTTGACTGTGGAATATTTAGCAGCCAGGAAATGTCACGGATGGACTTATTGCACAGGTGACAACCTATCACGGGACCACGCTTGGAGTCACTGAGCTCCTGAGAGCGACCCATTCTTTCACAAATGTTTGTAGAAGCAGTCTGCATGCCTAGGGGCTTGATTGTATACACCTGTAACCATGGAGGGGATTGGACCACCTGAATCCAATGATTTGGAGGGCTGCCCCAATACTTCTGGCAATATAGTGTATGTGCCATACCTGTGGAATCCCCCTAGAAATCTCTGCAGTAGACACCTCTACTTCATTGATCTCCTCCTAGATTCTGGGTCCTGTGCCAAGCAGCTGTCCTGCAGCATTCTAAACACAGGAGGTCACTCACTTGGCACAGGAGTTCTTCAGGAGTTCCTCAATAAATGCAAAGCATTCTCTGATTGGATGAGATGTAGAGGCAGGGCAGTGACATTCCATTGATATACCCTACACATAGGGATGGTGGATTTTGATTGGTTGTTAAGATACGATCTTTTGGTCAGTTCACGACCACAAAAACACACTCCAGATGCGTTTTTTGCATGTGTGTTTGATGCTTTTCAATGTTTCCTGTTTTTTTTTTTTCATGTGTTGCATTTTTCATGTATTTTCCGATGTTACAGAACATTTCCGTGCAGAAAAAAATGCAGCATGTTCTACTTTATTTTTATTTATTTTTTTCTGCACTGGAAATGACTGCACTAGTGTGGACTATGCCATTAGAATCCATATAATCTACTGTTCATGCCTTTTTGATGCAAAAAAAAAAAAACGCACTGGGCACTGGACTGCCTTTGGTGTGAATCAGCCCTAAAGCATTTAAATCCCATCTCCAGGGAAAGGCAAGTAATGTCTGGCAGTGAGGCTGCTCCCACACTTTTAGTGCCCATTCACACCATGCCTGCATTAGAATCGCACAGGAACGCATGGTGTGAACCAGCCCTGAAGCTCAGGGACTTTTTTAAAATGCAAAACGTTGCATTTCTGGTTCAATAAGCGTCAATGGAGATGCTGCAGAAAACGCATATAGTGTGTTTTTGATGCATTTTTGACAAATTTAGCATTTTTAATCTGCCCAGCAACAAATTGGCCCCAAAAAAAACACAAGATGCATAAAAAAGCATGGTGTGAAATGGCCCTGAAGCTCAGGGACTTTTTTAAATGCAAAACGTTTATTTTTGGTTCAATAGACTTCAATGGAGATGCTACAGAAAAAGCATGTAGTGCGGTTTTTATGCATTTTTTGACAAATTTTGAGTTTTTAATCTGCACAGCAACAAGTTGGCGCAAAAAAAAAAAAGCAAGATGCATAAAAAAAAGCATGGTGTGAACTGGTTCAATAGACTTCAATCGAAATTCTGCAGAAAACGCATGTAGTTTGCGGTTTTATTCTGCCCAGCAAACAAGTTGGCCCCCCAAAAAAAGCAAGATGCGTAAAAAATGCACGTGAAAAAAAAATGCAAAATGCACTGCACAAAGCACTGCAAAATGGACAAAATGCCACGTGCATTGGTATGAACCAGGCCTTAGGTCTCATGCACAATGAGTGTTAAAAAAACACTGCTTTTAGTCCCCGATCACACCAGTGCGATTTCTCATGCGGTTTGATAGTTTCAAATTGCATGACAAGTCTCACCTATTGACTGAATGGAATCGGTCATATTGTTGAGATTCCGACTCGACTCCGCCAGGGTCGCACAGATTTTGTAAGTACCTCATGCACTACTTTTTGCAAGTTCAGGTGTGACTTACATAGATATTTGTGCATGAAGTCTCACAGATGTCTTCCGAGTCGCACCTGAAGTTGCACTGACATCCGACTTTGAAATCGGGCTTCATGTAACAAGCAGCTCTTGAACTCGAGTTTAGGAGCTTTTGGCATTTTTTTTGCAAAACTCCTAAACTCAACTCCATAAAAGCCTATGTCCATGTACACATAGGCTTTTAGCAGAGTTTAGGAGCTGCTGCGTTTTAGATGAGGTTAACCCTCCCTCCCCTGAACGTGGAAGAATTGCATTCCGGATAGG